GTGCTCAGGGGTTTTGAGGGGTGCACAGAGAGAGAGCTGGGGCACAGTGGGGTGAGCAGAGCAGCATGGGGTGCTTGGGGTGTATGGAGAAGGGGGTAAGAGGGTGCTCGGGTTTTGAGGGGTGCACAGGGAAGGTGCTGGGGGTGCAGAGGACGGGGGTCAGGGCTGCAGCTGGGTGAGTGCAGAGCATGGATGGGGTTTGCAGGGGCTCAGGGCACCCATGGGTGCAGGGCAGCCATCTCTACATGCACCCCTGTCCCTCCACAGGTCCCCCCGTCCGCTGCCACCCTGGCGCTGCGCTGCATGGACGGCGTCTTCCTGTCGCCCAACGAGGATGAGTTCGTGGGCAGGATCACGGAGGAGCTGGAGCACTTCATGCTGCAGGGGCAGCACCACCGGTGGGTGCTCGGCCAAGGGTCCTTGCAGGGGGTGACCCCCTCCCTGCCACAGCCCGCGGTCCCTTGGCGTTGGCACATTGGGCCGCTGTTTTGTGTTGGTTCTCTGGGGTGAAACAGGCTGGGTTTAACTGGACCTGGACCCCGGTCCCAGTGACCCTTGGGATGGCCAAAAAGGGGGTGTCCATCAGGAGCAGGGGTGGGATCACTTCAGTCTTGTAATGACCTTAAATATTTGTTTGATTGCTTTTTAAAGACGTGTTTGGCAGAGAAAGCACCAGCGCGATTGTAAAGTGTTGAGGAGTGAAATCAGAACTGTAAAAACGTGTCTAAACGCAATGAAATCAAACGTGGTGTTTATTCATCCTTTAATTACTGGTTTCTGGAGCACGCTCAGACTGGGAGGAAGACTGGGGAACCAGTAGCAACCATCTACTGGTGCTTCCCAGCCCTTCCCAGTGTGGATACGGGCAGGGCTGAGAGTCCCACATGTTCCTGGTGCTGCCTCCAAAGCGAGCACCTCGGTCTAGGATGGAGAAGGGATTTTGGCTCTTTAGTACCAGAAAGTCCTGCTTGGATTTAAACCCTGCACTGGGAACGGCTTGGGGTTGATCAGTTCTTGTTGCACTCCTGCCCTTTTCCTCCCTGCAAGTTTGCTGATGCCCCCGACCCCTCTCTCTTCTCAGGGTGCTCCTGTTCCCACCCCTGTCCAGCCGCCTCCGGTACCTGATCCATCGCACGGTGGAAAACGTGGATATGCTGAGCAGCTTCTCCGTGGGAGAGGGATGGAGGAGGAGGACGGTCATCTGTCACTCGGCCGTGAGGTAGGGGACATGCAATGGCTCTTCTCTTTCCATGTCCTGTGGTGGATCTGATGCTTTTCCTCCTCCCTCTCACCAGCATCCCGTTATTTGGGTTCCCCTACCCCTCGCTCACGCCGTTCTCTTGCTCCCAGGCTGCCCAGCGACACCAGCGACCAAAAACCCAGCAGCAACGCCCCCAGGGCGCAGCGCCCCCAGCAGCCCTGGGGCCGGGGGGGCCGGGGCGGCCGAACGCGCCACGGCGGGGACCTGCACGGTGACAACTCCCGGGCCTGCGTGGGGTCCGGCAGGATAAAACGGCCACCCTGGAGGAAGCCAGACAAGGCCCTGTACGTCCCCAAAGCCATGCGCAAGAAGGAGTGGGGCGAGCGGGAGAGCGCGGTGGTGGCTGTCACCGAACCGGGAGGGGACGTGGTGCAGGAAGAGGAGATTTGCCCTAAAGCTGCGGTTGAGGATGCCCAGGAGGACGCTGAAGGCAGCCACGGTGGGGTCTCCGTGGCCCTCGGCAAGGAACGGGAGCCTGGTGAAGAGCGTGCTTCAGGAGGAGATGATGATGGCACTAATGAACGTCCTCCGTGCCGTGCGGATGTCCCGTCGTTAGAGAACGGTGACGGGCAGGAAAGTCAGGATAAAGACTGTTCAGATCCCCCTTCTGTACACAATAAACCCCCAACTGCAGCGGAAGAGCAAGAGCAGAGCTGCGACAGCGCTACAGGAGGTAGCAAAACCCTGTGCCAGCTGCAAGAGGGAGACCAAAAGAGCCGGGACACGGGTGGTGTCGGCAAAACCTCCTCTGTACCCGAGAGCAGCAGCGGTATCTGCTGTCCGGCCCCGGCTGGGGCCGAGTCAAGCACGGACCAAGATAAGAGCTGTGCCGTTGCCGAGAGCCTGGAGAGCACCGGGAAGCAGTCACCGCCTGCAGAACCGGGCAGGGACTTTGTGGACACCAGCAGCGGGGAGGGAGCCAAGGGTTTCTCCAAGCTGGAAAGCCAGGATGAGGAATCCCCCAGCGCTGCCCGCGTGGAGCATCACCACAACCCTCCCGAAGCCCAAAATGAGCCTTTGGCTGCATCTGAGCCGCTTTGTGGTGCTGAGCATCCAGCTCCTGATGCCTCAGATGAGCATTTGGTGGATGCTCCCGTGGAGAGCCGCAGCGGGAAGGAGGAGGAGGAGGAGGACAAGGAGCGGTCGGGTTTGGCCGGGGCGCTGTGGCGTGAGCTGCGTCTGCCCACGGGCGATGGGGAGAGCGCGGCCGCGCGCGGGCAGAGCGGCCTCGAGGACGACTGCACCGCAGAGCTCATGGCAGAGGTGGGGTTTTGTTACAGATATTGCCCCAGGGAGCGATTTTGGGGGACGAGAGGGTGGCCCGAGGGGTAGGGCTGGTCCATGGGAGCAGAGTCCCTGGTGCAGGAGGGAGAAGTGGCGTGCAGGGCCCTGGAGGATTTCTCTTCGAAGCAAAACCTTGTCTGCTTATTTTTAATGATATGATTACTTTAATGTTCTCAGATTGTGGGCAATTTAACCGTGAAGGACATCAGCATTGAGAAGATCAGCTTTGATTATTCCAGCTACGGCGACGCGCAGCTCGGCGAGGGCGATTTTGGCCACGTAACCGAAATCTACGACTTCTCCCCGTCGATGAAAACTGAGAATCTGCTGGAAGTGTTCTCGGATTTCCAGTGAGTACCGGGCACAGCAGAACCTGACGAGTCTTGGATTTCAGCCTTGTCTTACACCTTTTCTGTGCCTTAAAGGACGCTTCCCTGCGGTTCGTGCGTGATTTAAAACACGAGCTCAACCTGCAGGGTTATTGCTCCTGCTCTGCTTTCAGTGAGGGTCTGTAGGTGCTTCCTAGGAGTTTTTGTTACTGCTTGAGTGAAATTCGGTGCTTGCTTAAGGCTGTGCAAGGAAAAGGGCTCAGTGCTGCAGGTGGAGATAAGACTTACGGTATAAATACAGGGATCAGAGCCATGGGCCAGTGGCAGGACCAAAGTCCAGCCCCATGTGAGTGATAAATGGTGCTTGGTGCAGCTCTGGGTTGGTCTCTGTTTTCCTCCACCGTCCTCCTCCTCCTCCTCTCTCAGTGCACTTGACCAGACACAAACACTTCACCTCTGCACATCTCTTAAATGAAAACCCATGATTTACATGTTAAATAAGCTCCTGTACTGTGTGTGTTACCTGCAATCAATGTATTTTTTCCACTCAGTGAGGGTGAAACTGAGCTGCACGTGGACAGAGCTGAATCTGAGCAGTCCATGCTGTGCATTTCCTGTGCTGCAGGAAAGGCTCTGACCTCCCTGCTCCCAAACTCACTCCTTTTATGAGATTCTCACATCAACCCCTTCACCCTGAGCTCTGCAAACCACCCTGATAAACAACTTGCTTTTTTATTGTGGATGTCTGAGCAATTGGGTAACGTTTGTAAAGTGATGCACAAATAACAGAGGATTTCTGTGTTGCAAGACGGGCCCTGGAATTGAGGTTGATTTTGGCCAAAGGTTTCTTTAGAGGAAGAGGGAGCTCTACATCAAAATATTGTTGCTAGGCCAAAGTGGTTGAGGATTTTATTGTGTGGTGGTGTGTTTTGTGTTTTATTTCTTTCTTATTAATGAACATTACTCTATTTTCTCATTGTTTTAGTGAGAGCGGCTTCAAAATCCAGTGGGTGGACGACACGCACGCCCTGGGCATCTTCTCCTGCCCATCCACAGGTAGGGGACCCCGAGCTGCTGGGGTTTCTCTGCTCTCACTGTGGTGGTTGTGGCTCGTCGCCTCTTCCTCCCTGCCTCAAAAGGCTTTTAATGCTGGAGAAGGGGAATTACTGCGATGCTGTGAGGGAACTCTGCAAGAACAGCAGGGTTTTAATTGCCTTGGGTGATACCCAGGGACTGTTTGTGTGCAGAGTGACTCCTGCTGCATTTCTAGAAATAAATCTGCTTTGCCGCTTGGTTTTGGTCTCTTGTACCTGGGCAATGTCCCTGCAAGTGTCCAAAAACCTCCTGGGGACCTGATATGGAGGGGGCAAACACCCTGAGCTCAGACAGAGCCATCCCAAGGGAAGCTTCCATCCAGCAGCACATGGAGACTAAAGGTTTATGCTCTTGTCCTGGGATTTAGTCTGATAATGGCAGCGTTGTCTTTTAAAACACACATTTTTGGGGGAATCTTCCTGTGCAATAAATGTGAGCTGTGAGGCTGAGGTGACCAGAAGGAGCTTAGGTGTGGTACAAGTCTTGAGATAACTCATCTTTTACGATTGAAGGCACCAATATTGAGTCTGCTCATTTCAGCAATCTCTGTCCTTCGCAGCATCTCAAGCCCTGGGGCGCCGTTATCCTTCCTTAAAGATCCGACCATTGATCCATGCCACAAAGCAGTCCAAAATCAAGGCACTTCAGCGACCAAGTAAGACAACCTTTTTTTTTTAATTATTACTATTATTTCTTGCTTAAATAGGGAAATAAATACTAAGCAAAAAAAAAATGCACTGGTGCCCTACTTGCGTGGTTAAAGAGAACAGATCACAGACTCACAGAATGGCTCGGTTGGAAAAGCCCTCTGAGATCATCACGTCCAACCGCTCCTGTCTACCCCCTAAACCATATCCTTAAGTACCTCATCTACCCGCTCCTTAAACACATCCAGGGATGGTGACTCCACCACCTCCCTGGGCAGCCTGTGCCAGCTTCTGACGACCCTCTCAGGAAAGAACTTCCTCCTTATCTCTGACCTGAACCTCCCTTGGCACAGCTTGGTGCCATTTCCCCTTGTTCTATCCCCCATCACCTGGGAGAAGAGCCCAGCACCCACCTCTCCACAACCTCCCTTGAGGCAGTTGGAGGTGGTGATGAGGTCTCCCCTCAGCCTTCTCTTCTCCAGGCCAAACAAGCCCAGTTCCCTCAGCTGCTCCTCATAAGGCGAGACAAACCCCACAGCAGTTTAGATTTTGTCGTTGGCATAATTTTATTCAGTATCAGGTGAAGGAAGAAATGGTAAAGCTTAGCCTTTAACATTGTTTTATTTATTGGATCGCCTGTTAAAATCATACTGTAATCAGTTATGCTCGCCACAGTAAAGAAATGCCATGAATCTGGTAGCAGTAGAGGCTCTGCTGAACACGCGACAAGGCTGTTGTTTCTACAGCACTTTGCAGTATTAATTGTGGTATTAAAGCTTTCAGGGGACACCGTCACAGTGAAGTTCCTGAGTTTTCAGACTGCTGGGTGTCACTGAAATGTCCAAGAAATGGATTTGGGTTGCATTCTCCATCCCTTTTCATTCATGCGTCCCCAAGGCTGTAGCCTCTTCTGAATCAGGTCATAAACTGATATTTAATTTAAATAGCAATTTTTTTCCCAAAAAAACCCCCAAATTTGGATCTCAATTAGCTGACAGTGTCTCTTCTATTCTGTTTCATTTTCAAGGAAGAGTGGCAGTTTGATTTTTTCCAAGCTGTGGATGCTTTGAGTCTGCCTCTTTTCCTCTGAGCTGCCAATGGGCTGCCCTGGTTAGCAAAACCTGTGGAAAAAGCAAGCAAAGCCCCCATTGCAACTGGATAATAAACTTGCAAAGATTTACTGATAAATGATGAGATAAAGGCCAAATCCAGACCTCTGTGGACTTGGTGCTTTCATTTCTTGCAAGATGAAACCATAGCAAGCCGGGTGTGTGCCAGAAAGCAGAGGTTACTGGCCAAAGGGCTTTCCCAAAGCATCCGAGATTGAGCTGTTTTGTTTAAAAATGCACATTTTTTTCCCCCCTTTCTGCTTCCAAAGGATTTAGCCTGCTGGATTTAGCCTAAATTGAGATCAAACTTCCCTGTGCGTGGATAAATGGCTTGGACCGCACGCCTTCATTTTGCTCTCAGAGATGGGATTTGCTCAGTTTTGCCAGGAAGCTGCTCCCAAAAAAGTGGATCAGTTCTCTTTCCCAATGCAGAAGAGGCCGGGAGCTTCATCAGAGCCAAAGCAGCTTTTAAACTGTCCCTAAAAACCTTAAGTACAAACGTGGAAGCGCTAAAACAAAAGCAGCAACTTATTGCATAGGGATACCATGATTTGCCCGTGCTCCTGGGCTGATTCTGTAAAGCAGCTCAGAAAATAGAAGCCAGTTTATGGTTCAGCCATTGATCAAGTACCAACTTGATGATTTTCACCTTTTTTTTTTTTTTCCCCTAGAGCTCCTTCACTTCGCAAAGGAACGACCCCAGACCGACACCGCGGTGGCGAAGAGGTTGGTGAGGCGGGCGCTGGGGTTGAAGCACAAGCACCAGGGCACCGAGATGCTGCTGCCGGAAAGCTTGGACCAGGAGGAATAAACCCATCTCAGCTACCACAAAACGATGTCTAGATGAGCATGGCTGCGATATTAAAGTGCATGCGGAGCAGCGAGTTGCCACGGGGCTGCTCTCTGATGGATTAGCACCATCTTTTCTTTCTAAAGTTGGGAAGGGGAAAAGCTTTAAAGAGGTTTTTTTTGGGCTCAAGAACCAAGCCCCAGGTTGTAGTTAATTCTTCATCCTGGGGAGCATCTTGCTCTGGCCTGGTTCTAAGTGTCTGTTACTTACATTAAGGCTGCTTACAGAAAAGCCTCTATAATTTAAAAAATATGCATTGGAGTAAGGAAGTGGTATCTTTATGGCCAAAATTCAGCTGTAAGGGAGAGCAGAGCATCTGCAGGAGTAAAAAAAAAATCTGTTTACTGTTGACTTTGTTGTAGTGTTACTGTTAAAATAGCCCACGAGACTGACAACCATTGAATGCAAGTGAGTTTTGGGGTTTTTCCTTTACGTAGCGTTTAAAGAGCCTGGTTTGCTTTGGGGCACTGTTAGCGGGGAAGGCTGTCATCCACTGACACACAAACCCAGCTCCAGTTTGCCCGGTGGTGAGAGATGCTGGAAGCCACCTCGATGGAGCATCCAAGACATCTCAACCTCTGCTTCTGCTGCAAAATCCGGCATTCTGAGAACAAAATGAAGCTTTTCCAACTTATAGTAGGCTACAAACCTTTGCTAGATGGAGAAATGACAGAAACACTCCTGACAGGCATTAGCAAAAGACTTCTGCGTCCTCAGAGCCTCACAACACCCCTGTGAGGTAGGTTCTGGAGAGCACAGGTTTAGGTGCAGCCAGTTTGGGTTGAAATGGTCAGCTGTAAGCGTTAAAACTTGAGCTGCTTGTAGAAGTCTTCTGTACAGAGGGAGAAAAAACTTCAGTACCAGGAATTGGGAGCGAGGCCCTAAACTTTCAGGGAGTAGAAGGACACAAATGGCATATAAAGCATTTTTTTCTGGGTAAAACACTTTTTATTCAAGTAGCTGTGTCTGGAAATCTGCAGCGACGCGCGTCCTCAAACAAACAGAGGAAGGCGCTTAGCACCATTGTGAATGGACCACGTGTAAAAGGCCTTTTCAAGACAACTTACACAGGTGGGGTCTGTGCCAGCCACGCTGAAAGCCGTGAAGTTACCTCTGTAAGGTTCAGCGATGGTGATACAGCAATGCCTTAACTACATCCAGCCTTTTGAGGAAAGGCAGAGCGAAGATCCAGCTTAGAAGGTAATATTTGGGTGTACGTAGTGGGTGAACAGCTTACTGTGTGGTGGAAATTCACAGTCCAGCGGACTCATCACCAGGGGATGGGCTAAGTCTGCTTCCAGGTGGTACTGGAGATTCATGGAGCCCCGATGCACGCGTAGAAAACAGTTCTGCGTGAGCTGCTCCACTGAAGAGGTGGTGCTGGGAGGCGGCTGTTGGCTACAGGTTTCACTGCAGTGTTAAATGAAGCGCTATACTGTTCTGCTCAGAAAAAGCCGCTCCGATTTCTTAGTTGTTTTTCCTGCGTTTCTGTGCTAAAACGGAGTAAGGACGTGGCGGTGCTGAGGACGAGCTGTGTTCAAGAAGCAGCGTCACCACTGGAGGGGTTTGCATCAATGGTGCGGTCAAGCTTGAGTCAAAGAGCTTAAAGATACCGAGATTAATGGCTTGGAGAACGTGAACGGTGAAGACACCTTTAGGTTGGTGGTAGGCAAACAAAGGCAAGTTGTGCTTGCTGCAGCCAGGACCCTACGGCTGTGAATAAAGATGGTGCTGCAAAGTGGAGGGAGAAACCTTTCTGGAGGAGTTGGAACGGTGAAGATGCGGAGCCAAGCAGAGTTGAAAAGCCTGCTCCTAACTACGGCAGGAGGAGTTAACGGGAGACACGTGGTGGTCTGAGCACCTAAACTGGGGGAGGAAGGCATCTTTAGGAAATAATTTACCTTGCTAATTTTAGAGTTTGATTGTTTGCTTGATTTCTCTTCTTTGTGCAGTGGTTAGGGAGATCACCGAAGCAGGAAACCTCGCTTCTTTAAATAGTGGGGTGGGAGGCGATGGCGCTCTACCGGGTGGACACCTTGTTGTTTGTGAGCCCGCTGAAGTGGTCGAACTTCTGCTCCGTTTCCTCGCTGAAGGAGCCCCCTGGGCAGTCACAGAGAGAGCACAGGGGTGAGAGGAGGCAGGGAACACCCTGGGCTAATTAATTTAAGCATTAATTAAACCTTGCTGTAACTGGAACAGCCAAGAGGCTCCAGTCTTTGTGTCAGGCCCACACGACACCCGTTAAACCCCCCCTGCAGCAGCCCCTCACCTATGTGGCAGTTGTACATCCAGATGCGCATCCCATCGTAGCGGCTCCTGCACTTCATGACATTATTGGAGTAATCGGACTCGGCCACTTCATAGTTTGGGTTGATGACAACCTGGGCAGCGATGGAGAAACACAGCATGCAGTTATTGAAGAGGTGGGCTGGATCTACCACCAGTCAGATGGAGACAGCACCAGCTTTTTCATGACACCATAATATTTAGGGTATTTTTCCGTTAAACACAACAACATTTGCAAGGAGACAGAAGCCACTTAGTTAAAACCAGATCAAGATCGCACCTCTCCACTTCACACAGCAGCAGTGCAGACACAAATAATTCCCTTCGCTCCTCTCCAGTTGAAGCGGCTGCTTTTCAGATTCCCCACTCCACCTCCTCACAGACCAAACTGCAGGGACAGCCCTGCCTCCTCACACACACACAAACAGCACCGTTCAATCCCCAATTGAAGCCAGCATTGCTTGCACACAGCTCAGCAGCTCTGTACGACACAACAGTGGGATGCTGTGCCTATATATAATGTGACGTGTACTGCAGTGTGGTGACAGCATTGGCTGCACGTGTAACTTCATAGCATCGTATCAAAGATGTGGGTGTTGGCCCTGATTTTGCACTTGGGGAAGAGCTGGGCACACTTTGTTGTCCTGTTAGGTAATTCTTTAGGTATATATCACAGAATCACAGAATGGCTCGGTTGGAAAAGCCCTCTGAGATCATCACGTCCAACCGCTCCTGTCTACCCCCTAAACCATATCCCTAAGTACCTCATCTACCCGCTCCTTAAACACATCCAGGGATGGTGACTCCACCACCTCCCTGGGCAGCCTGTGCCAGCTTCTGACGACCCTCTCAGGAAAGAACTTCCTCCTTATCTCTAACCTGAACCTCCCTTGGCACAGCTTGGTGCCGTTTCCCCTTGTTCTATCCCCCATCACCTGGGAGAAGAGCCCAGCACCCACCTCTCCACAGCCTCCCTTGAGGCAGTTGGAGGTGGTGATGAGGTCTCCCCTCAGCCTTCTCTTCTCCAGGCTAAAAGAGATTTGCTTAACACTGGTGAGATGTTCAGGGCTGGGAACATGGGACTGGGATTAAGACCCAGGTTGACAAACCTTCTGCTTATACAGACTTATCAGGCTTGTTCTCCAGAGCCCTCCCCATCCTTGTGGCTCTTCTCTGAACACGCTCCAGAATCTCAACATCCTTCTAGTGAGGGGCCCAGAACTGAACACAGCACTCGAGGTGCAGCCTCACCAGTGCTAGGTACAGGGGGATATCTAAAGAATATGTGTGTGTGTGTGTATGGAGATAGAGAGAGACACATATACATATATTTCTCTGTGTGTGTGTGTATATGGAGATATATATGTATATCTCTATCTCCATACACACATAAATATATGTATATGTATCTCTGTGTGTGTGTATGGAGATAGAGATATATATACATATATTTGTGTGTATGAGATAAGAGATATATATACATATATGTGTGTGTATGAAGATAGAGATATATATGCATATATTTGTGTGTATGGAGATAGAGATATACATATATTTATGTATATGTGTGTGTATGGATATAGATAGAGATCTATACATCCATACAGAATACATACAGACATATACACATACAGAATATCTATATGTGTGTGTATCCTGGGAATACAATCTTTGCAATCATAATTTATAAGTACTGTAGGACATCCACAAATAAACCAGTTCTTTACATTCCTGACATCCCTAATGGACGAGAGAAAAGCAGCAGCAGTGTCCCAAGCCCTCTTTTCACCCCCCGTACCTGGAAGAGGTAATCTCCTGGCGGGACATCGGTGATGTCGATCCACTGGCAGTCGATGTCGTGGCGGTACACGTCCCAGCAGCCAACTGTGATTCCTTGTTCACCAAAATTGGCACATTCATACTGTTTTTGTATATCTAAATGAGAGTTAAAGGCAAAAAAAAAGAGTTACATTCCCGAGTCTCAGACACGCTGGAGGAAGGGCGAGTTGTTCTCCAGCTCCCACAAACAGCGATAAGCCACAGGCACAATATTTTGGATGAGATTTAATACAACGGTATCTTGCTCAATGTCTTGTGTTGAAATAACACAATAATGAAATAGCACGCTTAACTGCACGGGAGGAGCTGCCACCTCCTGTACTCCTCACCTAGGGGTGAGCTCTGGAACCAGAAAATGCACACAGTCAGGTTTTCAGAGCAGCTGGGGGTGAGGAAGTAGGGAGCTGAGGGCTGCAAACCTCAGCATGGGGATGCTCTTACACTGCAGAGCCCACTCCGTGCACGCAGACCCTCAGGAGCTGTTCTAGCCCCGCTGGGGGATTTGACAGCGTCTCTGCAGGCAGTCGCTGTGCGGGGACAGCGAGTCATTCCCAGCACAGGGGTGGATGGATGGCCCATGTACCTGCTTCACACTCGGTGTCTTCCAGGCAGAAGCTGGCTTTGTGTCCTTCGGCCACCTTGGTCCCGTTGAGGCTCAACAGATCGTAGTGGGTAAAAACCTCCATGCTGTGGTAATGCCTGCAAGGTACAAACGGGGTTAATTAGCATTAGGGAAAAGAGACACCATTTAATTACCAGGCCTCAAGGGCTGCCCAGGCTGTCCCAGTATGGGGCACGGTCACTGGGATGGGGTTTCACACCCCATTCCCATGGGGTGAACACACGACATGTGAAGTGCTATGGGCCAAGTGATGCTGCAGGAGGAGGAGTGAGAGAAACCACAGGCAGGAAATGTTCCCCGGGGCATCATCCTCCATGGCACCATCGCCCACGTCGCCTCCGTGCTGGATCCCAGCCCGGGTATTTATTTACATATCAAGTGTTAAAGCTGCTCCAGGGGAGAGCCTTGCTCCAGGGGATCACACCGTGTTTTATAACGGCAAGGGAGGGAAAAATCAAAGCCACCATCAGCCAGGTCATCACTTCCAGTGGCCCTGGCATTTACCAGAACAAGAAATATCTCACCTGCTCCTTAACAGCGGCTGCAAACCGAGCTGGATGCACCCAGAGCAGCAACCTGGCTATTTTTATTCATCTAGTTCTTTATTTTTTTAAAAAGCAGAATGTGTATTTATTGGCAGGAAGCTAACAACAGATGGAACCAGCTTCTCCCAGCGCTCGCTCCCCTCAGATCTAAGCAACCCGGCAGCTGGGTCCGCACACGATAACGTTTCATGATTTGAAATGGGAAATGTTGGTGCTGGCTCAGCCTGGGCTGCGATAGCAGAGCTCCAGCAACAGATAGGAGAGAGCACACAACTGTGCTGCAGAGCCTGAACCAGCAAAGCCAGGATTCAGGTGGAAAATCAGCACTTTTTGAATGCCATACTGCTGGTTCAGCAACAAATGAAGCCTGTGCCTTGGTCCAGTTGAAGTCCATGGGGCTTCAGATGGAAGAACCACATTAAAAGGCAGTTGTGTGCTCCACACGGTCAGGGCTGGGTGCAGAATTTGCTCCCAGCCTTAGAATCAGGAGTAAAGCCACAGTGTGGGGATAGGAGAGCAACTGTGGGAGCTGAGAGCAGAGCCTACCCCAAAAAATCCCTGTGTGCCTACCCCAGCTATGGGAACACTGCACTGAGACACAGCAGAGCCCTCTGAGGAGGGAGGCAACGGCCCAGACAGGCCCTAATTCAAAAGCCATTGCTTAGGAGTATAAAAAGAGAAAGAAATCAGAAATCCTCTCCTTTCCAGCTGCAAAAATAATCCTGGCTTAAAAAACTTCCAGCCACGGTTCTTGCAGCATCACTCTGCACACTTATCTGCAGCTACAAGAGGAGCAAGGAGGAAAGGGGAGGCAGTTTGTCCTCTGGTGTGGGTTTCTGCTTACCTGCAAACCAAATTAAACAAAGAAAACTGCCCTAAGTTCATCGCTTTGCATCCCTGCTATGGGTCCTTCCCATTTTTGTTCTGCTCCCGCATCAAAAGGCGGCCAAACAGAAGCTCCTGGTGATGGAGCAGGGCTATAGGCAAGAAGGGGCAACTCTGCAGTGTCTCATTTGGCTGCCTCTGATTAAAGTTTGAGGTTCTCAAGTGTGACTCAACTTGTGAAACATGTCTGAATCACTGCAGGAGGTGTTTACATTCTGCTGTTTACAGGCTGGAAAGATTGAAGAGGAATTGAGTTCATCCTCCTCCGTATAAACAGCACCCAGTTTAGAGCACGCAGTTGGCTCTCAGCCCCTTCCTGATCCTTTCCCAGTCTCTTCCCAAAACCCTCCCGGTGTCAGCAGTCTTACAGGACAAGAGCTGAGCACTGACAGTTACTTAGCACCCTGTTACCCAAAATTAGAGAAAAATCAACCTTGTAACAAGCCATCATCCCAGACGCAAAGCATTCGGATGGCTTGGTTATAGCTCCCTTTCCTACACCCCCTGGTTTACTTTGGCTGAAAAAGTGTCAGCTTCGCCCTAAAAACGATGCATTTATGGGGGTGAATTTACTGTTCGTCAAAAAAGCAGCACAAAACAAACTGTGCACAGCTGGGAGGTTAAGTGAAGTCGAGATGCACTTAAAAAACATGCAGAATTAGAGTGTGTTCCTTCAGTCCTGTCCCTGGTGAGGGAAGTAGCTGAGATGGCTGCACCTTTCTACACAGAGTGGGTACGTAGGGATGTGCTTCCTTCTGTCTATATATACACAGTCCCAGATAGAGATACAGATAGATAGATATAGAGATATATTTCTATGCACTATATAGATATATAGAGAGATATATTTCTATACACTATATAGGTATAGAGATGTATTTCTATACACTGTATAGGTATAGAGATGTATTTCTATACACTGTATAGGTATAGAGATGTATTTCTATACTATATAAATATATAGAAAGATGTATTTCTATACTATATAGATATATAGAAAGATGTCTTTCTATACTATATATAAATATAAATCTATATACACACATATATAGGGTGTGTATAGCTAATAGCTAATAAAATAGATAATATAATATATATCTATCTTGCCCTTGCTCCACATACCAGCTCTTAACCATAATTCCTACCACACAAGCTGGTTTCTCTGCTGTCAGAGGATCACAGCTGCCCTCACACACATCACAGCTCTACAACCACAGCTCCAGCCTTTCAGCCCTGCACTCCCATAGCAAAACTCCCCCCTGGGGCAGCAGCAGAGGACGGATGGAGGCAGCAACCACATCAGATCACCTCCGTGGCACTCACCGAT